TGCGCCGCCGGGCTCCACCCGCCCCGGGGCCGTCCAGGGTCCGTGTCCAACCCCCCGGCCCCCGCCCGGGGCCCCGGGGCTTGTCCCACCCCTCGGAGCCCCGGGCCCGTCCCATCCCAGCGGAGCTGCCTTGCCCAGCCTCCCCCCGGCCGTGCCCCCTCCAGCCCCATCTCGGGGGGCTCCCGTCCTGCCCGCTCCCCGCAGCCCTCCCTGGACGTGCCAGGACCACCGCGGCATCTTCCCGAGCAGCCACAGCCCCGCGCGAGTGCCGGGGGCTGGACCTCTGCGGGACCCCCTCGCCGGGCCCTGGGCACCCCGAAAGGTCTGAAAACAGATGTTTTCATTCTGCTGGGAAGTCTCTGGCTCGTTAGATGGTTGGGGTTTTTTTGTTGGGTTTTTTTTTGTGTTTTTTTCTTTTTCTAGCCGTCTCCAGTTACTTTTAGCCCAACATTTGTTGTCCCACCCTTCTTCCGTACGGTACTGGCGCCTGGCTGGCTTTGGCAACCAGCCTGTGGCTGCTCTGGCCGCCGTGGTTAACCGAGAGGGGCACGGCCAGGGTGGCTCTGGGCGAGGTGACACAGGACGTGCACACCAGGTATGGTCCACAACGGCCCGGCCCTGGCAGAGGAGAGGGGAGCAGGAGCTGTTTCCTGGTGTGGGCCACCACCAGGTCCTGCTGGGCCACCAGCTGGGCTGCTCTGACCGTGGCACCAGGGTAAACGGTGCCCCCAGGAGCAGCCCTGTGGCACCGCCGTGGGCACTGACAGGGCCCTGCGGTGGCCCCATGCCTGAGCCCCCTGGGTGAGTCCCCGCTGTCAGTGTGGCCCCGAGCAAAGGCCCCCCCACCATCCCCCCCTGGGCCACCTCCCATCACCCATCCTGCCCCGCTGTGCTCTGTGTCTGTGCCAGGTGCCACGAGCTCCCACGGGGGTGACCTTGTCCCCTACCTGCCAGACACGGCTGGAAGGGAAGTCAACCCCTGGCTCTTATCACGGTGAAGTCTGGGAATACGCTCAAGGACAAGGAATAAAAATGTTGCAACCAAACACAAGCCACGCACCACACCCAGGCACCTTTCCCATCTGCCGCATCTTCACAGCCCCTGCAGCACTTCCGTGACCACCTCCCAGCTCGGCTGGCTCCGGTTCCCCTGTGGCCATCCCCTGTCTGTGGTTCTCTGTGGAACTGCCTTTCACCACCTCCAGCTCCCCCCAAAAAGCGATGAACAATGGGTTGGCAGAGTTTGCTGATGCCACTGAAGCTTCTGGGTGGTTTGGCTACGGCGCTGGCTCTGGTGGCACAGGGAGGAGTGGCAGAGGTGTGGACAAGCTTTCGCACAAAACCGGTCCCTGAGCTGGGAGAACAGCTGAGCTGGGGGCCTGCAGGGCTGGAGTGGGGGCGTGGGGCACGGGGAGAGGCTCCTCACCCTTGCACACCTCACCTGCCTTCTGCAGCTCCCTTCTCGCTCACTGGGGAGTCACAGCAGAGCGCTTCTGTCCTGCCTGCTCGTTCCAGGCGCGTCGTTCCACACCGGAATCCCGATGGAGCTGTGGAATTCACAGAGGAGGGAAATCTTTTACTGCTCCTGGGGGTGAGTGCTCAGTGTGATACACGGCGGAATTCGTTGCCACAGGGTGTTTGCAGCAGCCCAAGTAGATTTTAGAGGGATTTTAAAAGCCATTAGGCAAATTTGTGGGAGAAAAATTGATTGAGGGCTATTAACCAGAGACGCAGATGCAGCTCCTGGCTCCAGAGGCTCCGTGCTGTGGATTGCCAGGAGCTGCAGCTGATGAAACACAGCTTGGCCCGTGCTCGGCTCCTTGCGCTTTTCCTGCTGGCAGCGGGGTGCAGGGATGCAGGGACACGGGGTCTGAGCTGGGGAGCCACTTCCAGCTTCGTGGGGGGAAGCATTTGGTCCTGAGGTTCCTGTGGATCTCCCACGTGTTGTCACCCACATGCAGGACACATCCACGGCTGGAGATTCCCGAGTCTCTGGCCTGGCCCGGCCCAGCAGCTCCTACAGGAGTCCTTCAGGTCCTTTGGGGCACATCAATCCCCCTGGGGCTGCCTGGGCCCTGCATCTCCTTGTTCAAGGTTGGTCACTCTGAGCGCAGCATTCCTGCTGTGGGAATCCTCAGCTTCCTGGGACGGGAGCAGGGGCAGTGGTGTTCCCTCAGCAGTGACCATCTCCTGAGTTACCCATCACCCCTGTCCAGCGTCACCTCCTCATCCTCAGTGTCCCATCCATGGACCTATTTTTGCTGGAGGATGCACATCAGCAACACCTGTTCCTTTCCAGGCAGGGGTCACACGGTCCTTCCTCCTCTGGTTGCCCTGGCCATCAAATCACCAGAGACAGGAGAAATGGGTTCCATCCTGGTGGCCTCCACACTCTCATGTGTGACCTCCTGCAGCATCTGTCTGCCCCTGGCTGCTCCCAGGGTTCCAGCTGGGAATTCTCAGGGGGAGCAGGGGCTGGGCAGTGCAGGGGGCCTGTGCTTGACCTCTGCCCGTGACTGCTGTGCTGAGGATGTGGGACCCAGAGGATGTGGGACCCAGAGGATGTGGGACCCAGAGGATGCTCCACACCCACACCCAGAGCCCCAGGCTCTGCCTGCCTGGAGCTGGGTGCTCCACAACCCTGCCAGAGTGTCCAGGTGGGCAACAGCCCCTGGCTTGTTCCAGCCACAGCGTGGCTACGTGCCCAGGGCAATAACCACCCTCCCCCCGAGCTGGCACTGCTGAGGCACCTCCAGCCCTGGGGCAGTTTTGTGCCTCTCCCTCGTGAAAAGAAGGACATTGAAGGGTTGAGCATATCCAGAGACAGGAATGGAGCTGGGAAAGGTCTGGAGCCCCAGGAGGGGCTGGGGGTGCTCACCCTGGAGAAAAGGAGGCTCGGAGGGGGTGAGACCTTCTCACTCCCAGGAGATCCCTGCCAGGAGGGGACAGCCAGGTGGGGGTCGGGCTCTGCCCCCAGGGAACAGGGACAGGACAAGGGGAAATGGCCTCAAGCTGTGTCAGGGGAGGTTTAAGTGGAATACTAGGAATATTCCTTCCTGGAAAGGGCTGTCCAGCCCTGGCACAGCTGCCCAGGGAGGAGGTGGGGTCCCCATCCCTGGAGGGATTTAACAGCCATGTGAATGTGGCACTTGGGGACGTGGTCAGTGGTGGCCTTGGCTGTGCTGGGGAAGAGTTTGGCCTGATGGGCTCAGGGGGCTTTTCCAACCCAAACGATTCCATGATTCTCATGCCCAGGAGGTGCCTGCGTTTCCTCCACCAGCCCCTACCAGGCCATTTCCATTGGGAATCCCCTGCTGTGGGGCAGCTGCAGAGACCTTTTGTCCCAGACTCTGCCCTTTCCCTCTGCCAGCCCCTCTCAGGCTGTCCCTCTGCTCAGTGTCACCTTCTCCTGCCACAGCTGGGTCAGGAACCTTGGGAAGGTCCGATGCCTGTGGCATCAGGGCTCCAGGAGGAAATGCTGCTGGCAGGGGAGCTCCCCTGGCTGTGCTGCCATCAGCCTGTCCTTTCCCCAGCTCCTTCCCAGCTGCCCTGAGCACAGGAGCAGGCCAGAGCTCCTGGCTGAGCACTTTGGGGATCTCAGCAGTCACATTATGGGTCTAAAGGTTCAGGTTTTAGTTTCCATCCAGGACTGTGGTGTGTGGGAAGCCAGGCAGGCAGGATTTGCTGCTGGGGGTGAGTTCTGTCCCCAGTGCCCTGGGCAGGTACAGCTGGGGCTCCTGTCACCCCTGTCCCCAGTGTCCTGGGGCTCCTGTCACCCCTGTCCCCAGTGCCCTGGGGCTCCTGTCACCCCTGTCCCCAGTGCCCTGGGGCTCCTGGCACCCCTGTCCCCAGTGCCCTGGGGCTCATGTCACCCCTGTCCCCAGTGCCCTGGGGCTCCTGTCACCCCTGTCCCCAGTGCCCTGGGGCTCCTGTCACCCCTGTCCCCAGTGCCCTGGGGCTCCTGTCACCCCTGTCCCCAGTGCCCTGGGGCTCCTGTCACCCCTGTCCCCAGTGCCCTGGGGCTCCTGTCACCCCTGTCCCCAGTGCCCTGGGGCTCCTGTCACCCCTGTCCCCAGTGCCCTGGGGCTCCTGTCACCCCTGTCCCCAGTGCCCTGGGGCTCCTGTCACCCCTGTCCCCAGTGCCCTGGGGCTCCTGTCACCCCTGTCCCCAGTGCCCTGGGGCTCCTGGCACCCCTGTCCCCAGTGCCCTGGGGCTCCTGTCACCCCTGTCCCCAGTGCCCTGGGGCTCCTGGCACCCCTGTCCCCAGTGCCCTGGGGCTCCTGGCACCCCTGTCCCCAGGTGCCCTGGGCACAGCTCCCCCCAGGGCTGGGGCTTGGACCAGGACCTGCAGACCCCAGGGTGCTGCTGAGCCTGGCAGGGCTGGCGGGTGCAGGGGCTCTGAAGCTGCTCCCCAGGGTGGGGGGCTGCAGGGGGGCATCCCCCAGGATCTGCAGCCAGCCTGGAGCTCCGTGCGTCGTTCAGTGTGGGTCCCAGGTATGGATCCCCCGGAACGTGCTCCAAGCGTGATCTGACAGAACCGTGGGGCCCCTCTCAGGTCAGTTTGTTTTTA